AGAAAATGCCAAAATATTCGTTTTTTTTTCTGGGATATTCCTATCCCAATTATTCACATTTATCCACCTATTACTTTTTATGCATGTTCTACGCATATTTCATTTGCATAATTTTTGGCGGGGTGGGGTAGCATATGTTGAAATACCTTTTTAATACTTAAAATCCTATATCACCCATCAAAATTTCAAACCGCCAAAAAGTTCTGTTCCGTTTCACATCGCACACCCAACAGTTGAAATCGCCCACCGGTGGCCGATATCGCCCTAATTGTGCAACTCTGCTGCATTATGAATAAAATATATTTCGACGCTAAATAAAGTGAATCTATTGCTAGGTCTACTGTTAGGAATGTTAGTTCACTGTGTCCTGCTAGACATGTTTTCTCTCCCGAATCTATCTTACATATTTATAAGTTCCGCATTCGTACATGCTCCAAATATTGCTGCCACATACGGTCTGGTGCTTCTGCTATGTATTTGGAGATTCTTGATAAAATCTGCAATGTTATTGGGCCTGACCTAGCAACTCGTCTTCAGTCACTTTCCCATCACCGTAATGTAGCTTCCCTATGCATTTTCTCTAAATATTTTTATGGTAATTTTTCTGATGAACTTTCATCTATGGTAGCTAGGCTCTGTGACTTTAAGCGCAGTACTAGATTGGCGGTAAGGTCTCATCATTTTATTGTTGAAATTTTAAATGCAACCGTAAGTTCTATACTAATAGTTTCTTCTCCCGCCTTTAAATCTTTTTTTATATCACTCTTCCCAATAAAGGGTTCTCAGTTTCTTTCACCTTTAAGAAGCACCGTGCATCTTAGTGGCTTTATTCTCTTACCTAGGTTGAAAAGATAAAATAAAATAAAAAACGAAAACAAAAATACCATATTAAATTGCATTGAAATAAATCTATTCCTTGGTAGCTGATCTCTAAAATTACAGTCTGTTGTTAACTGGGACAAGGAATGACTTGTAAGTTTTAACGCATCCAAAACGATACTGTTCCCTGAGCGAACCTTTTTTGTCTTCAGTCAGCATGGCTGATGCTAACCTCCAGGAGAATGACTCATTGCTACTTCACAGGCTAACGTTTGCCGCGGATATGAAGAGGACAGATAATAATGAATCAATTGCTAAGTCTGCTGATAGCTTTACGGTCATGCTAGACATTTTTTTCTGGCCAGAGTCTATCTTTATTTATAAGTCTACCATTCGCCCATGAATTGAATATTTACTGCTACATCTGATCTGGTACTTCTGTTGTGTATTTAGAGATTCTTGATAAAATCCAAAGAAGAATCTGCAATGTAATCGGTGCTGACCTGGCATCTCGGCTACAGTCACTTTCCCACCGCCATAATGTAGCTACCTTGGGCCTTCTTTATAAATACTTTCATGGTAAGTGTTCTAATGAACTTTCCACTGTAGCACCTAGACTTTAATCACATTAATAGATTGGCAACAATATCTCATCATTTTATTGTAGAATTGGCTAAACGGAACTATAGCGAAGAAAACGGCGACTTACCTCGTCAAACCAAGCGACAGCGCGTCGCGTGTATCTTACGACGGAAAATGTGGCGAAAAAGAAAATTAATTACCAAAAAAAAAAAAACAGCATGTATTCCGCATGACATGCTGCAGACTGAATATTTAAATTAAAATAAAAGTCCCTCGCAGGAGTCTCTATAAAAGTATTTTGAGATGCAAAAATTTGGCGTCCTCTCCCAGTTGTCGACGAATGAAAAAAATGCTTGGCGATAAAAGCAGTTGTTCTCGAATCGAGAGGAACAAATTGATGTATTTTGGCTACCGCGTTCGTCGGAGAGTGAGTTATTTTTCGGACTGGTTACGTGCATTGGGATTTGTGAGATAGTACCAGCGAATTGAGTTTTCGGCATTTCTTTCTGCCCCCGATATTCGTGTCTGAACTTACAGTGATTTGTTCTCGGCGTTGTGGAATTAATCTGCGACAAACATTTCTTTTGCTTTCAGAACGTAAGTTCTTTGTTAACAATTTCTTCTCTTAGACTTCTCCCTCGATGAAACTCTTTCTGGTTCTTGCACTTTGGTCGACTTTAGTCTTCAAAATGACAATCGTTATCTTTTTGTCTCCTTAATTCCTGTTCTTTTAATAGTTCTCACTCCCATGTGTCTTAATTGTTTCTTGCCTTGATTGGGGTGGTATATATATATATATATATATATATATATATATATATATATATATATATATATATATATATATGTATTATGGATATCCCATTAATATAGCATACATTATATATATATATATATATATATATATATATATATAAATATAGTATAGTCTTAAGATGTGCTATATTTATGGGATAAAGTGATCCATATCATATATACAGCGTATGTAAATATAAAAGTGAACATTGAAGTCAACACTTAGAGGCGGCAGGCTGTTTTCATGCTAGACGCAATCGTCAGGCCACGACGATTGCGTTTAGCGTGAAACAGTCTATATATATATATATATATATATATATATATATATATATATATTTCCGGTGTATACAGTTTAACCTTTACTATAAAGTTCATGCCTTTAAGCAATCGTCAGGAGTTCGGCATCTGTGGTAAGAAAAGGGGAACTCGCACACACAAACGCTCTGTAATAATAAATACAATGAGCTCTTTTTGTGGATCAGTTTTAATATTTTATATTACTAGGATCCACTTGGATTTATACCTATTATATATATATATATATATATATATATATATATATATATATATATATATATAGTTGTGTATCTGGGCTAAAAACATCTCAAATACAGATTTTGTTAAAAATGATTGACAGATTCCTGGTATGGGCTGAAAAGTTTGAGGGCCACAATTTCAGCGTAAAGTCCCCTAAGTACTTCCGGGTGATGGTATTGGTAAACTCTACGAATTGTCTCCAAGTGTGTATGTTGATTCGTGTTCATCATTTCGACGATGTCATTTTAAAAAGAAAATGAATAAAAACATTATCCCCTTGTTTAAGCAACAGTGATTTTTTTTTTTAATAAGAGACAACTTTGTATTTTCGCCAACCTTTAAAATGTGGGAGGTATTTTTGCCGCAACCTGCAACAAAACATCAACATATTTTACTGTAACCAGGTACAGGATGTTTCGAAGCCGGACGAATTCGCCATACGATGAATCATTAAACTGAATATCTTAGACATAAATTTCAGCAAACAGGTAAAATTTATATGACAGATATTGGAAATTTGACAGATCTCTGGTCGATTCTGTTTTAATCAATAAATCATTAAAGTAATACCAAAATGAAGTTTTCTTATTCTAAAAGAAAAAAAAAAAGCATGCACACGATTACAAAGGAAATGGTGGATGTCGCTAAGTTTTAAAGGAAAGAGCCCACCTGGGGTTTCTACCGCAATCATACTGAGCGGATATTAGTTACAGTTCCTGGGGGGGAGAGAGAGGGGAAGAGAGGGGGGTCATTTGGCGTGATCAACTGTTTGAACTATGCCAATATGCTCGAAACCTCAGCCACGAAGACTTGTTACGACTTGCTAGCACAACTGTCGTCGGTTTCTGAAAATAGAGTCGTTAATTTCCACTCACAAAGCTTAGGTCAACTTGTGGTACTCTTTTCAGGTACCCTCCTCATGCTGCCGATTTTATGAAGAATTCAACCCTCAAGACAAATCGACCATGATGTGATTTGAACGGCGGCTTTCATGTTCAGAAGACTAAAGCTGTAACCATATACCCACAAAATACACACACACACACACACACACATATATATATATATATATATATATATATAGAGAGAGAGAGAGAGAGAGAGATACTATGTTCAGATTATTCAACTAAACATGCTTGAATGAATATATGTTGACATGTATATATATATATATATATAGAGAGAGAGAGAGAGAGAGGGGGGGAGAGAGATAATATTAGTGGTAAATATACACATACATATGCAAAATATATAAAAATATATATACATACATGCATATATATACATATATATTTTTTTGAATAAAAAAAATTCCAAGAGGATAGAATCCAGGTAGAACTCAATGTCTAGGACAGAGTAAGAATATAATAAAAAGGCTTAAACACTAATATTCCATGGTCATAATTTATGCCATTGGAATCGTAAATACGATCCAATTCATCAGACCTACAAATTCAAAAAGAAAACAGAAAAAAACAACTCCGGAAATAAAAAATAGAATTTAGAGAGAGTGTAAGTATGAGAGTGTGGGACGAATGTTAGAGCTAAAGAGAGGGGTAACAGACGAGAGAAGGTGGGAGATGTATATCCGATGCAATGAGAACGAAAGTAACCTATAAATTCTAACATTCACAGCATTAATTCAAAAGAAGATATCGATAGTAGAGCGATAATTCTCACCAGTCGAGGTGCAATTGAAATGAAGTTGCATCTTTGTAGTGAGTAAATTGTTTTCTCTATATGATAAAAATAGCCGTGCTTATCCACTTATTCTCCAAGACATTTTTTACGTTTATACGTTCTTTTTCTATGATAATTTCTCGGACAATCTGGCCGTTAAATGTTATTAATACTGTTTATTATAAACAGAGCATTTACTTAAATATTTGTATCTATAAAAAGAATTTATAAACATAAAAAAACGTCTTAAAATAAGTATATAATTATGTTCTTTGAAATTTTGAATTGTTAATTCATTTAAAAAAGTATTTCTCTCTCTTTTCTCTCTGTCAATAAAGACCCAGGCCATGTCGGGTAGTGGCACAAGTATTCAATAAGCAAGAATATGAAAAGAATTAGATATATTAAAATAAAAGACACAGCGCGTCACAAAGACAACGCTAACAAAAAAATGTCGGCAGCTGCACACTTCCGGGGCGGGCCAAAAGGACACTTTCAAGATTTCGCTTTGATATACGGGGACATTCTTAATTGCCCGGATGTGCGCCAGTCTATGCACACTGACTGCCACGCACCGAAGATATCTAAAAAAGAAAAAAAAATGAAATGTAATAGAAGAACAAATTTACGTCAGTGTAACGAAGAAAAATAAATAAAGTTGATGATAATGTGAATAAGAAGGAGGAGGAGGAGGAGGAGAAGAAGAAAAGGAGGAGGAGGAGGAGGAGAACAAAAAGAGGAGGAGGAGGAGGAGAAGAAATGGAAGAGAAGGGGTAGGTTGAGAAGAAGAAGAAGAAGAAGAAGAAGAAGAAGAAGGAGAACAGAAAAGGAAGAAGAAGGACAAGAAGAAGAAAAAGAAGAAGAAAACAGGAGGAGGAAAGAAATGAAGAGAAGGGGTAGGTTGAGAAGAAGAAGAAGAAGAAGAAGAAGAAGAAGAAGGAGAACAGAAAAAGAAGAAGAAGGAGGAGGAAGAAGAGAACAAAACAAGAAGGAAAAAGAAGACAACAGAAGAAAAGAGAGAGGAGGAAGAGGCGGAGAAGAAGAACAGAAGACGAAGAAAACGGAGAAGGAAGAGGAGGAGAACAAAAAGAGGAGGAGGAGGAGGAGGAGGACAGAAGAAAAGGAAGAGGAGCAGAAGAAGAAAAAAAAGAAGAACAACAACAACAATGACAAAAGACGAAGAGAAGGAGGAGGAGGAAAACAAAAGAAGGAGGAGAAGGGGGAGAACAGAAGAAAATGAAGAGAAAGAGTAGGTGGAGAAGAAGAAAAAGAAGGAGAATAAGAATAAGAAGAACAGAAAACGAAGGAGGAGGAGGAGGAGGAGGAAGAGGAGAACAAAACAAGAAGAAGGAAAAGGAAGACAACAGAAGAAAAGGGAGTGGAGGAAGAGGCAGAGAAGAAAACGGAAGAGGAGGAGGAGGAGGACAAAAGGAGGAGGAGGGAAGGAGTATGAGGAGATGAACAGTAAAAGAAGAAAGGCGAGGAACAGGAGGAGAGCCAAAGGAGGAAGAGGAGGAGGTGATTAGTAGAAGAAGGAGAAGGAGTAGGAGAACGGAAGAAGAAGAAGAAGAATGAGGAAGAGAAAAGGAGGAGGAGAAGAAGAATGAGAAGATGATGAAGAATACGGAGTGGGAAGGATGAGGAAGATAACAGAAGGACGAGGAGACGAAAAGGGGGAGTAGGAGGAGAATGAGAACAGAAGAGGAAGAAGAAGGAAAAAATGTTCTATTTCTCATGTTTGCCTCTTGTTCAAGTAGCTTCCCCGGCTCCTCCTTGTTTGTAGTCGTAGCGGCCGGCGGGGGGGAATGAAAATGAAAACGACTGCCTTAAAGGCGATGGGTAGCGGGTGGCGAATGACGGGTGTCAAGTTGGGGTAGATAAACAGTTTTAAATCGAGAAAGGAACATGGATGATGATAATTTAGATGAGGCGAATGACGGATCTTGCTCGAGGCAAAACAGCGAAATTGTCGCCTAAAATTACATTTTGTTTTATAAACTCCTACATAAATCGACAGGCATGTACAAATTTTATGATTTCATCTTCCTTCTTAACATACAGGGTGTCCGAAAAAAAATGACATCATTTTAAAAGCAATTGTCTTGAAAGCTACTAAGTCTTGCTCAAATAAAATTGAACAGTTTAGGTGTTGAACATCATAAGTTTATTATGGGACCGATTTTATAAGTGTTCAATATGTGCACCGCCTGTGACACGGCACACGTCAAGTCGGTAGTTAAGCTTATGCCAAACACGCTGTAGCATGTCTCCAGTAACATTATCTAGTGTGGAAGTCATTCTCTGCCTGAGTTCATCAATGCTAGCAGGAAGAAGGGGGAAGACCATTTCCTTCACATATCTTCATAAGACAACAACAATCTGACGATTCGCATAGGTGAAACCTAGGTAGATTTGCCTGGCTCTTTAGGTTCATAGTTACACACACACACACACACACACACACACACACACACATATATATATATATATATATATATATATATATATATTAAAAAAGATAAACCGCGAAGTTCTGCACTTTTGAACACCCCACAAAAATACACATAAAATAAAAGTTTAAACAGCAAATCCTAAAATGTGATTTATGCACTCAAATGCACAAAATGCAAGAAGTCATATATAGGTATTAGCCAAAAACAAAACCACGGAGTTTCCCTTCTCAAAAGCAACATCAAATTACCCGATAACAGAAAAAAAATCTTTGTATCAAAACACATCTACAAATTTGACCAGGGTAAATTTAAAATAATGTCAATATACCAAACAGGCAATTATTCTTACCTACAAATTAAAGAAAAAAAACTCCATTAACAAATTTAAATCAACACTAAATAGATCCCAACCCCACCACACACACAAAAACACACAGCATACACGTATAATGACCAAATACAAAAGTCGATTCTGTTATGCCAAAGACTGCTATGCAACGATAACGGTTGTGAAATATTAGACGCAAATCGTGAATTCATAATTCAGTTCTATGACGTCGTACCACGCTAAAGAACGAAATATTAACAAGAGAATTATTGCGGCAACGGCTTACTGGTAGAATCCCCCGACTAACGCCGATTCACTCGGGTTTCGATCCTATCTAGAGGCAACCGGACGTCTATCCACACTGATGAGCTGTGATACAGCGAAACAGTCTGTCTGTGGATGACAATATATATATATATATATATATAGATAGAAAGAGTTTCAAATTATAATGTTTCATTTTATGAAAGTATTTATTTATTTATATATATATATTTGATATTTCAAATTGTCCTCAATTTTTCATCAGAAATAACTGTTTGTTACAAATAAATTAAAATTACTGTTTGTTAGCAAGTAGCGTCCTTCCCGAGACGCGGACGTCACGTGATATGGAACGTCACTGTTCGGATATTCCTAACTTAAATCTGTCATAAATATTTAAAACAATTTTTTACTATATCTAAAAAAAAAAAAAAAAAAAAATTGCTTAACTATTGAAATATTTATAAAGATTTAAAACACCTAAGTCCCTATTCAACCCTAGTTTATGTGTATTTAATTTTAAAATCCAATATGTTTCTTTTTTTCTGCGTGTGAATGTGGAAGTAAAATCGGAATCTATTAATAAACATTTGCAGTTTTCTAATGTGTGTCCTGATTGATTGTAGTGTTTAGCTATGGGGGAATAAGGGTTGTTTTGACGTATTGTTTGTTTATGGTTATTAAAACGAAATCTAAAATTGTTTCCAGACTCACCAATATATCCACTATTAGGACATAAGTTGCAGAATAAATAATAGATTACGTTATGGGTATCGCAGGTGAGGTTAGGTGGCTGTATCCTGATATTGGTGTTGGGTACGGAAAATGTATTAGATATTATTAAATGTTTGCAAACTAAGCAACGAGGTTTGTTACATTTGTAATTTCCTGTTTGGTTTCTATTGTTTAGATATTTGGTAGAGGTGAGGATAGAGTTTATATATATATATATATATATATATATATATATATATATATAAACTCTTATCACCAGTTGACGAAAGACATTCGAATCACTACCACGCAAAATATCCATATTTATTATATGTAGAAATATTCACTCTTTGTTTGAAGAATTCGTGAAACCAGAAACACGTGCAGCAGAATAAAGGAAAATAGAGTATAATATATATTTTAAAAGAAAAAGAATCTACATTTCAACCAAAAATATATACACATTTCTCTCGTTGGAATAACTATAACCTCTTTCTTATATATATATATATATATATATATATATATATATATATATATATATATAATCAAAGTATATAATTGGTGTATACAACAATTACTATTCTTAAAAGAGTGCTCAATACAGAGTAGAGCATTTATTATTAATTATTTAAAAAATTATAACATAAATATGCTATAAAATCACTACAAAAATATATGATTTTATAGCATATTTATGTCATAATTTTTAAATAAATAATATAATATATATATATATATATATATATATATATATATATATATATATATATATGGGGAGGTTGAGAGAGAGTAACAAATAAAATTCAATATTTACCTATCTCTCCTGAATCTGAGTTTCGCAGTATTGTCATCCACGCATCAAGAGGCTTGATATTAATAACCATCTTGAAACTACACATCTTTTAACCACGTCGTTTGCATTTCATAAAAAAAAGAGTAATCGAGGCTTGTTTTAATTGTGAGGTCTCTCGTGGCTGAGAGGCTAACAGCAATCCTAGCCTCAAGGCGATTTAAAGGGATTAAAACCGAACCCAGGCTTGATTCCTGTGTAAAACTTTCATTTGCTTACGACATCATTTTCGCTATTTTTTAAAATGCAAGGATGTCTCCCCAAACACGTCTACGCGCCAAGTATAACTCTTATAATTGCCCAAAACTGAAGTAAATCAGCGGGGTGCTAGATCAACTACTGACATAAAAGTCTCAGCTTCAATGGTCTCGAAGATTATGCAAGCTCTCTATGGGGCACTTGTAAGAGCCAAATACTTGAAATTCATACTCTATAATCGTTATAAAGACGGTTTAGAAAGATCCCTCTTGCGAAAGCACAGGCAGACTTAAACACCTGGGAACAATCTTCGAGCGAGGAACAATCTTCGAGCGTTTCCAATGGTGCAAAGGATTTTGAGCAGAGATTGAATTGTCTTTCGGGGATGAAATATCCTACCAGGGAAAGAGAGGTTGTTAAAAATGAGGGGGTATTTAATTATGAAATCTATGATAGGGTATGCTTTTCTAAGCATGGACGACACCACGAAAGACACAACATTGTGAACAACTGAAAAGTTTAGTTGGATTTTATATGCAATATCTGTGATAATCTTTGTAAATCATCAAGTGTACTCAAGTGTATATATATATATATATATATATATATATATATATATATATATATATATATATATAAATGTAAATATAAAAGTGAACATTGAAGTCAACACTCATTGGCGACAGGGTGTTTTTTCATGCTGACGCAGTCGGCAGGCCGCTGACGATTGTCTCCAGCCTGAAACAGCCTATATATATATATATATATATATATATATATATATATATATATATATATACTATTTAATAAAATAAATAAAAGCAGAGCATCTACGTAAATATGAATAACGTTCAAGAAATAAATTAACGCATTGCTCTTTTACTGAATTGAGCTCTCCAGGCCACTGGTGTATTTAGTTTAGAAAACGTTAAAATTTCCCTTTCTCTCCGCCCTTACGATAGCTGATTGATGTCAATTCGTTCGTGTTTCGATCGCGGCGTGAAGTAATCGGACGTCTAGCCACACTGAAGAGCTGAGCTGTGGAATAATATATATATATATATATATATATATATATATAATGAAATGGACAAAGTCGGACAATTATTTTAAGACATTTCTTATATTTATACGTTCTTTTTATAGATACAAATATTTAAGTAAATGCTCTGTTTATAATAAACAGTATTAACAACATTTACCAGCCTGAATGTCCAAGATATTGTCATAGAAAATATTCGTCCTCCGAGAGGAATCGAACCTGTATCCTATACGTAACCGCCATATAGCCTGGCGTGCTTTTTTACCGATTGAGCCACAGTAAAACCAGTAAAATCGACCTTTGCTAACCGAAATGATCGTCTGTGGCTCAATCGGTAAAAGCACGTCAGGCTATATGACAATAAAACTGTTCAAATGTTATTTTTCCGAACGCTTTCGGCTATATATTTAGCTATTTCAAGGTTGAAATACATTAAGTGTTTTGAAAATGAAACATTATATAAATACATACAACAAATTATTTCTAGTTAACAGTTAATATATTTCAACCTTGAAAATGGCTAAATGTATTGCCAAAAGTGTTTGGAAAAAAAGAACATTTAGTCAGTTTTCATATAATTTATTATCTGAAAAGAAAAAATTATTAGATCACATGAGAAATTATATAAAAAAAGCTTAATCAAAACACCTTATATAATAAACCTTCATCCATAATACGCACCTCTAAAAATTGTGCTGAAAGTGTGTGAAAATGTTTCTACTCACGCATAATACGCACCCCTTGTTTGGTAATCAAACCCTATAATAATTTGTTAATATAAACTCTATACGGGTGGGGTATGCGTAGGATGTGCGCCCTTTGTTTGCATTATTATTTCATGATTAAGATGATCAAAGTATATTAGAGAATAAGTTTTCATTCAAATATTTTATATTTCTTCCTTTCAGCTTTCTATTATGTTTTGAAACTATATATATATATATATATATATATATATATATATATATAATATAACTGTCTTTTTGTTGTGTTTAAATTTTTCTCTCTCATGGACGCCATGGTTTTTGGAGGTTTGTTTAGAGATCAAGTTAAAGGCCTTTTAAGCTTCTTTCACGTGAATTGCAGTAACATTTTCAATATGTACGAAATAAATATAACAGCGGGGGTGGGGGGCACCAGTATTTTAGAAATACCAAAGTGAGGCCCAAAAATCGGTTAGGAACTACTGCACAAGATGGACGACATAGAAACACACGAATCCTACACATCATAGGAAATGTGTGTATATATATGTATATATTTACGGCGAGGCACTACATAGGGCTTGCTGATGGAGAGACTATATACTAGCAGGGGAAGACTTAAGCACTCGGCCCCGCTTTTCGCATTTCTGCCATCGGCGGTAACTGAAATCGAGAAGCAACAAGCACTACCACTACAGACTACCACACTAGACGCATTACAACAGCCATTGAGACACACATAAGGAAAATATAAGCAACACTAAATAACGTTATGAGTACAGCAATAATGTATCAAAATATCTTTAACAGCAAGGTTTTAAAATATGTAAATTGTAATTTTCGATAAAATTGCAATTATAACAGCAATATTTTAACATAATAAATTGTAATTTAAAAAGAAAGATCTACAAATATAAGTTAAGTTACCTCCCTTGATAACGTTAAATTTTGAATCTACAGAGTGTTTCATGCGCATTTACAAAACAATTCACAACTATCAATTCCATTAATTTTCGTCTTAGGAATTCCCCCCTGAAGATAGTTTTTGGATGAAATTGAAACTACTTGTGGAAATAAAAGAAATAACCAAAACTACAGCTTCTTCCGTAGACAGATGGGGGGATGAAAAGCAAGTTGCGTGGTGGATGAGTTTCTGTATTTTATATTTGTATGGCAATTGTTCGCGCAAATGTAAAAGTAACAATATTGAATGTTATTTATTTCGCGGCTGGGAGCTTGTTCCGGGACGTTGAACAGGCTATCTATCTATCTATCTATCTATCTATCTATCTATCTATCTATCTATCTCATTCTGTTTCTATCTATCTGTCTCATTGTTTCTTTCTTTCTGTCTTTCTTTCTATCTATCTATCTATCTATCTATCTATCTATCTATATATATATATATATATATATATATATATATATATATATATATATCCCATTCTGTTCATATCTATCTATCTATCTATCTATCTATCTATCTATCTATCTATCTATCTATCTATCACAATCTGTTCACATCTATCTATCTATCTATCTATCTATCTATCTCATAATCTGTTATATCTATCTATCTATATATCTATCTATCTCATTTTGTTTCTATCTATCTGTCTCATTGTTTCTTTCTTTCTATCTATCTATCTATCTATCTATCTCATTCTGTTCATATCATCTATCTATCTATCTATCTATCTATCTATCTATCTATCTCAGTCTGTTCATATACCGGACGTTCCCCTCCCACCGCTCTTCCGCTCTTTCCATTTTTCTTCCAAGCCCCATTACCCTCTCTACCCCAAACGCCAGTGCACCGCCCCCGCCTCGACACTCCACCTGTATTCTTATTTGCTTCCAACTAATTTTATTTCCTACAGTCGTTTTTGCTGCTGCACCTCCCGCACGCTAAATTTTTCACCTTCCGTCACCCTCAACTCCGCCATTCCTCCTCCCACCACCATGATTTTGAGTCTCTCCCTCCCTCCCTCTCTCTCCCTCCCTCCCTCTCTCTCTCTCTCTTTAAAACTCTTCTCTCTCTTTTTCTCTTTTTGCTTCGACGTTTGCATCACTGACCTTACCTCGTTTCCAAACCGACCCCATTCGGTTGGCTCCCGTCCCCGCCCCATCTCATCGCACAATTTCCGTTCTGACCACTGAGACCACACTGACTCATGTCCTGCAGACGTCAGCGAGCAGAGTAACAGCTTTTATAACTTGGTAAGTGACCCATTAAGACACAAGCACCACCACCACGTCACGCCCAACATTTCAGTTCACCCTGGCCATCCATAGCTTGACCATGTATTTTTTCTCCAATCTATCTATCTATCTATCTATCTATCTATCTCAGCCTGTTCATGTGTATCTATCTATCTATCTATCTATCTATCTATCTATCTATCTATCTATCTATCATTTCAGTCTCAATTTATATTTATCTATCTATCTATCTATCTATCTATCTATCTATCTATCTCAGTTTCTTCATATCATTCTTTCTTTCTATCTATCTATCTATCTATCTATCTATCTAAGTCTGTCTATATCTATCTATCTATCTCAGTCTGTTCATATCTATCTATCTATCTATCTATCTATCTATCTGAGTCCGTTCATATCTATCTATCTATCATTTCAGTCTCAATTTATATCTATCTATCTATCTATCTATCTATCTATCTATTTCAGTTTCTTCATATCATTCTTTCTCTCTATCTATCTATCTATCTGAGTCTGTTCATATCTATCTGAGTCTGTTCATATCTATCTATCTATTTCAGTCTGTTCATATCTATCTATCTATCTATCTATCTATCTATCTATTTCAGTCTCTTCATATCTATCTATCTATCTGTCATACTTCTCCAGAAATATAGTAATACCCCAATTTCAATATATATATATATATATATATATATATAAATTGCACATGTAATTAAATTCATAGGCAGCTCTTTATCTAGAGAATGTTCTACATTTATCTTCTACGTTCTTGTTCTTCCATCTTCATCCACTTCCTCATTTATCAATGGCATTTTCTTTTTATTTTCTTTCTTTTCCTGTCCTTTATTTCATTTTCCTTCTGTCCTGCTTTTGTTGTTCGTCGCCTTTATAAATTCCAGCGTTCACTAACCCTGGCGACCTTTTTTCTTTCGCCGTAATTCCCCTCACACTTTACGATATCATTTGAGCACAGGCGTCCAGCATCACTACCCCTGCCATTTTCTTACTAAACTTCCGGTTATGGTGGCCATCCTTTTGCAGGAAGTTATGAATGACGTGCTGACCGGACTTAAGGGTTACTTGCAGCCAGTGAGTAGGTTGGGGGGAACGGGGAGAGTGTGCACTTCGAGATGAGAAACCGCCATATTGAATTATCGGATGTCTGGGAATTGAATAGACTAAATGAGGAGGTTGTAGCTGCAAAGTGTGTATTTCCTGCGAAAGTAGATATTAAATAACAGTTAACCTGTCAATCTATCTATCTATCTATCTATCTATCTATCTATCTATCTGTTTATATATATATATATATATATATATATATATATATATATATATATATATACAGTCTCTTCATATCTATCTATCTATCTATCTATCTATCTATCTATCTATCTATCTGAGTCTCTTCATAATATTTATCTATCTATCTGTATATATATATATATATATATATATATATATATATATCAGTCTTTCATATCTATCTATCTATCTATCTATCTATCTATCTATATATATATATATATATATATATATATATATATATATATATATATATATATAAGAAATATAGTCTTAAGATGTGCTATATTTATGGGATAAAGTGCTCAATATCAGAGATAGAGCGTGTGTAAATATAAAAGTGAACATAGAAGTCAACACTTAGGGCGACAGTCTGTTTCATGGTAGATGCACTCCTCAGGCCACACCTGTCGCCTCTAAGTGTTGACTTCTATGTTCACTTTTATATATATATATATATATATATATATATATCTCCAGTTTCTTCATATCTATCTATTTATCCATCAATCTCGGTCTGGTCATATCTATATATTTATCTATCTATCTATCTATCTATTCACACACACACACACACACACACACACACACACACACACACACACACACACACATATATATATATATATATATATATATATTAAAGCGAAGAGAGAAACCACAAAACTTTTTGGTTGTAATGTTGATTTTTATAAATATATATTATGCTTTATCTCCCATAATTTTACATCATGCTACCTTCTTCAGACAAAGAGTGTATATTTCCACATATTATTAAAGGAATTAATTTTCCTTATGTTTTTCGATGTTAAACATTCTCTTTTTGTGTGGTAGTGACAAAAATGTCTTTCTTGGACTGGCGGTGAGAAAGTTCTTCTGCTTGAAGGGTAATAAAACAATTAAGATTGGTCCGAGTAAGGGTGAAGTAAGGGTAAAGATATTTGTAATTTTCCTTAAAGAGCACACAGGGGCGATTAAAAGATAATAATACATTATTGTTGTTTCTCTCATATTTTTACAAAAATATCAAAATTATGCATCATTAAAGAAAAGGGAGAGTTGATACTGATAAAGAAAACAAAAACAACTCAGAATGTGTCAATCCATTTTAAAAAATGTATTTCAACTCGGGCTTCTGACTTTTTGTGGCATTTAAATGAAGACGTCAAAATGTCGTATCTAACATAATAAATACCATGGTCCGGTTGGTTGGAACGTGCAGTTACGGTGAAATTGATGTCTTTGTCTTTGATGGTTACTTCATGCTTATTACACCGAAGACGAAATTCCGTACCTGTTTCATCGACATAATTTCTTGTTTTGCATTCGACCAACTCTTTTTTAAAAGGTATTCGTTGGCAATATACTCCAAGAATTCACAGCGTGGCTTTCGACTGCGAAGAATTTTTAATAGTCTACATATATATATATATGTGTGTGTGTGTGTGTGTGTGTGTATGTATGTGTGTGTGTGTATGCGCTCGCGTGTGTGTGTCAAAAAATGCACGCACCCATAGAAAGGCGATTTTTGTAATTTTGCCGAGACAAGTGAGCAATAGAATTCGTTTATTAATACAGGGTATTAATACAGGTGTACATATGTACATTATAGAAGTCAAAAATGATTTATTATTTTGTTGGGTAACCTTTAACTTTAATAAAGACCTTAATTCTTCGTGGCATGCTATAGACTAAATTCTTTAGTAAGTCAACATCCTTCGCCATATTTTTCCAGCATTTTTTTTCATTTACTAAAGAGCTCATCTTCTGTGTTAACTTTCCTATTACGAGCACGCTTGTCCATTATCGCCCAGTTTTTCAATTGGGTTAAAGTCAGGACTCTGACTAGGCTACAGGAAGAGTTGCAATTTACACTCGATGTGCTAGATAACGTTTATTCTTTAATGCTTAGGACCGTTATCGTGTTGGAACGAGAAGCGTTGACCTTGGAAAAATAGTTTTTTAGCAGAAAGCCACATTTGATTAACAAGAATGTTGTGGTATTGATGCTGGTCTGATTCATGATTCCCTTGATTTAGAGCGGGTAGAGCAGAGATCAACATGTTTATTGGACTCATCAGTTTTCAATCTGCTTGTCTGAATCATCTTCAAGAAACGAGAGCAAAAACTAAAAGGTCAGCCAATCTAACAGTGATCTCATTTCATAATCCTCGCTCTTGCTCCATATGTGGCCTCCTTTGTAAATCACTAGAGGGTCTTAAATGCCACTTAAGATTATCGCACAAAATTTCAAAACTGAATCAACTAAGCTGTCAGATCCTCATACGTCGAAACCAACGGGAGAGTTCATTATTTTATATATATATATATATATATATATATATATATATATATATATTAATAAGTATGCATATACCTACGTTCGAAGAGCAAAGTAAAGGCACGAACTATTACGGTTAACTCAGTCTGAGTTTAATTTAGCGTTCTTGACATGTGACCCAGTATTTCTTTTTAAATCAACTTTAATAGATCGTGCCTGATGAGTTGGTAGAACTAAGAAACTTTAAGTTGCACTTCGAGCATAGGTATATGTATATTTATTGATATATACTTCTTAGCTCTTTCTAACAATATTGAGCACTGTTTTGTTTGCACCTTATATTAAACTGGGTAAATATTTATTCGTTTACTAGTGTATGCACGCTAACGCAAGCATATACGGTTGATAATATCTAGTTATTTGATTCATCCAAATTAACATATATATATATATATATATATATATATATATATATATATATATATATATTTTATATATACATATATATATGCATATATATATAGATATATATATATATAGTATATATATATATATATATGTGTGTGTGTGTGTGTGCGTGTGTGTGTATGTATATATGTGTGTGAGTGTGTGCCTCTGTGTGTGCGTGATTGAAAGAATTACAAACATTATTTCTGTTTATTTTTACCATAATCCTTTCATATTTACAAATATTTTCCATATATTACAATTATAATATGCGGAAAAATATTCGTGAATTTGAAAGGATTATGCTAAAAATAAGCAGACATAACAAAAATGTATTTTGATACTTTCATTTTCTTTTGACCCCAGTTTGAACGAGGTGCATTATTTGCCTATAGCTAGGACCCTAACATGTGCTACCACCCTTGGTGATGGTAAACCTACGAACAACAGCAATTAAGAGGTGGTTTCACGCTCCTCAAAACCTCTAATCTCCTGATCAGATGTCTTGCTGCTGGATGTAGTTTATCGTCATACCCAGGGAGATGACGATTTTGGGAAGTTTGAAGATAAAAAAAAAACAAAAACAAAAAAAAACGATATTAAAATATCAGGAATTAAAAGTTGTCGACTTATTTTCGTCTAGTAAAACTGCAATTTAATGTTACATGAGTAAGTACTTTTTTTAGCCTCAACTAAAATTCAAGGAGACCACTTCCTGTTTGTGAGTGTTAGATTATATGTGCGACGAATGCTAATGTCAAGAAATATAAATTCTTGCATTATTTTGTACCCTGATGGCTGTTATGTCTCGTGAATTTCACCAAAATGGAGCTTGTAGATATAAAGTCGAAACAGGCGCACTTCTACAATCTGAACCTCTTCAAGTCTAGCGTCAATCTTTATCCATCCTACATATCATCATGCTATGGATCTTCTGTTCCCTCCATGTACGACCTTATAACAAACTTATTCAGCAACCCTCTACTCTGAGTGGCTCTTGGGCCTTGTATTGGTGGAAAATAGTCAAAAGAATAAAAACGACACGGCAACACGAACTGACACTTTAACATGCCATATTAAAAAAATCCCTACGTGACGCATGAAGACGTGATATTTGAAAATAGATGAAACCGACGTAACGCAACAACAACAACAAAACCTTTATAAGAGTGACTTATATTCAGACAATAGACTATTCATATTTAAGTTTGCATCGGAAAACCAGGGAAAGGGTTAGAAATGGAGTAAAAATCAGAAAAAAAAATCTTTATCATCATCCAGCCGCGGTGTTTGTACGAATTCCTTTGACTCTTTGTCGCCATCCAATTTGGCAGATCAGAGGCATTGCAGTTTATGTCATCACAAATCTACTCTATATAAACCTCAACTTGTCTTCTGTTCACTGTTCCTTGTGTAGGCTCCTGCAAAAGAACTTCACTAACAATTCATCTTCATCTCTCCAGCAATGTCCTGCAAATCTGACTCTAATCTCTTTGATGATGTCTGATACTAGATGAAGGTTCCCATGCAATCGCTCTTTTTTGTCAAACGATCACTATATATATATATATATATATATATATATATATATATATATATATATATATATATATAATATAATGAAATGTACAAAGGCCGACAATTATTTTAAGACATTTTTATGTTTATACATTCTTTTTATAGATACAAATATTTAAGCAGATGCTCTGTTTATAATAAATAAATGGCGAAATCGGTAAAAGCACGTCAGGCTATTAACAACATTTACCGGCCTGAATGTCCGAGAAAGTGTTCATAGAAAATACGTCCTCCGACAGGAATCGAACCTGTATCCTATACGGAACATTTATTATAAACAGAGCATTTACTTAAATATTTGTATTATAAAAAAGAATGTATAAACATAAAAAGAATGTCTTAAAAAATAATTGTCGGACTGTGTTCATTTCATAATGTGTGACGTCATTTGTTTACATTTGGATACGCATCGAGCAGATATTAATGCATGAGAGAAAATCATAGAGAATTGTGTTTAAATATAGTAAAATCGACCTGGCTAACCGAACGTTCCTCTATCATTGAATCAGTTAAGGCACGTCAGGCTATATAAAGGATACAGGTTCAATTCCTGTCGGAGGATGCATATTTTCTATGGAAATTTCTCGGACATTCAGGCTGGTAAATGTTGTTAATACTGTTCATTAAAAACATAGCATTTATTTAAATATTTGTATCTATAAAAAGAACGTATAAACATAAATGTTTATAAATATATATATATATATATATATATATATATATATATATATATATATATTTCATTAAATAATATAGACAAGTGTCGTCTATTTATTTTATGTAAATTCTTTTCATAACGTCTGATAAGTTTAATAACATAATCATTAAACGAAGAAAGAAATTCACAATATCGATCCATATTTTTTTAATACAATCTAAGCTTTCGGCTTACATAAGCCATTATCAAAGATGTCAATTACAACATATGAAACAATATACGGACAAGACAGTGATGATAGTCTGTCATTGTTTACATAGATGATTTCTCAGCAACGATAAACACGTGCATATATATCGTCAGGGTGCACTGGCCAGCTTACCCTGACGATCCGTGTAGGTGAAACCTAGGTAGGTTTGCCTGGCTCTTTAGGTTCATAGTTAGATTTTCTCTACTTAGTGTATTGAGTACTTTATTTAGTTACTTTTGCTTTACTCGTATTGGAGGATTTTTTTCTTTGGATTCTGAGTTTGAATCCTGGACGATTGTTTTCGCCTCAATTACATGTTCTTCGTTCTTTCTTTTTTATCCTTTATTTTCCTTTGGTCATTGGTTTGTTCAATTACAAACCAAAACATCTAAGGTTTTTCCAAACGAGTATAACTATTTATATTATCATTAATATATATATATATATAATATTATAAATTAATTTTATTTAAAATATGTTTTTTTTTCGCTACACAGTTCTAACTATGTTTCAAAAATGAAGGCTGAAAACTCCGAATTTAATTTTGTAATTAAATTAAAGACATTAGTTCCATATCATCCTCGCTTGAGCCTCCATTTTTGAAACATGGTTAGAACTGTGTAGCGAAAAAAAAACATATTTTAAATCAATTAAGCCCTTATAATATTAATGCTCTGTAAATTTACATGGAGCACTATTTTGTAAAAAAAAATATCTATAAGAACACCGGATTATATATCTTACTGTTCTTTCTTTATATATATATATATATATATATATATATATATATATATATATATATATATATACAATATATAATAATATATATATATATATATATATATATATATATATATATATATATATATATATATATATATGATACTGGATCATTTTTTTAGTAATTCATTACGCGTTTCATGTTATAGGGCTCTCCAGGTATTCTTTGTTGACAAAGAAATAAAATACTGGCTCAACACGAAGTTCCCATAAAGCCCTAGTGCTATGTGAAAGAAGGTCCTCGAGAGTCAGGCAGGTGGAAAAAGATGGTGTGAGTGGACTGGGTGAGGGTGGGGAGTTATGGGTGTCACACCCAAAGGATGGGTCTGAAGCAGCATGCCATTCGTCGAGTCACGCTTGATACCATTGAGGACACAGATTCATTAGCCCTCCACGCCCCCCTCCACACACACACACACCTACAGGGCACCATTCTTTTGCGGCAGTAATGTCTTTCGGGGGAATATTGGCATGAACCTCCACCCACCTCACTGGTGACAAGAGACAAAAATCGGACAGGCTATCATATCAAATACATATATGTATACAAAAATATGAAACGACTGAAATAGATACGGAGATAGGTATCAGGAGACAGGGATCAATATATACATATATATATGAAGAAAAAGACAAGGAGAGAGGAATAGACTGAAATATATACAGGCATACTGATATATATATATATATATATATATATATATATATATGTATAT